TCGTCCAATCCAAACAATACCCCCTTAAACTGTATCAAAAATTGCGACCCCGGAAACGCTAGATGCATTCACAGCATACTTCATATCTGCGTACTCACAAGATCCCCCCTCCGCCGAAAAAACATCAGTTGAGAAATTCCTAAATAGCTACATATCACTGCACCAATAATACATCGATTATATATCTCCAGGCAACGTAAAACAATTAATCAAGACAATTGAAAACAAAGCTTCCCCTGGAATTGATACCATATCTGACCTTGTTCTAAAACACCTTCCACCACATGCTCTTGCATGTCTGTTATCTTAAACAGTTATCTAAGACTCAGGTTCTTCCCCTCACGCTGGAAAAAATCAATAGGTATTCCCATTTTAAAACCAAATAAATCCTCAAAACTTTCATCAAGTTATAGACCAACTAGTCTACTAACAGCATTTGGAATTTTTTTCGAAAAGCTCATTTTAATCAGATTAAACGTCTACCTTGATAAAATAAATGCAATTCCGCCACATCAATTTGGATTTCGTCCTCTTCACTCATCAACATACCAACAATCAAGAATTGTTGAAGAAATTGCTCTAGTTTTGGAGCATAAATAATTCTGCGTAGCGCCCTTCTTAGACTTCACACATGCGTTTGATAAAGTCTGGCACAATGGATTATTATTCAAGTTACGTAAGCTACCGGAACATCTATTCCAAATAATCAAAAGCTTTTTGGATAATAAATTCTTTACAGTAAAAATTAACAACACCCTATCATTTTCTACCGCAATTCTAGCCGGCGTTGATCAAGGGCTCTCTCCAACCCTCTTTAGTATCTTCACGGCAGATATCCCTGAATTATTAAACTGTGCTACGACTCTCTATGTTGACGATACAGCAATCTTAACATCCAGAGACAATCTCTGAAACAATAAAGGCCCTGCAATAAGACCTAAATACCTTTTCTAAATGGACAAAAAAATGGAGATTACAGCTAAACCACTCAAATTGCGAAATCAAAATGCTTACCTTGCGAAGAACAAATATGCTTCTCACCTTTAAAAGTAAATAATTACCCTGGGCATGTTCTCGACCAGAACGTACTGTGGTTCTACCGTCAGTAGTAATTTTTTATTTAAACGATATCTCCTGTCTTAATCTCATTGTATATGGCATTGGAGTGAACGCTTCGCTGCGCATTATCGAATTTGTATGCTGAAATACTTCTCGCGAATATCCAAGACTGCTCACGCTCAATAATCTTACTTCAGTCAGCGACCTGCGGCATACTCGCGAATTAACCGGACCACATCTGGAATGATTCGTTCAGCGCCCAACGTTCAGCATACACGGTCGGGCTAATGTGCGAATTAACTAACTAATTCGCGATTTGTCCCGCTAACTCGCGATTTAGGTATATTTCGGGCTTAAGCCGAATCGAATACGAAACGTATAACTCTTATAACGAACTTCAAATTCCGTATGTTTTAATGCAATATATAAACAAATTATTCAATAACGAAATGACGTATGTTATTAGTTTTCACAATTTATAACTTTCAATCTAATTTTCAATAATATTAGAATCAATACTGCAACATTTGTTTTAACAACCTTATATTAATTTTGCAATGTTAGTTTTCGATGAGGCAATAAGTGGAGGAATTGAATTTCGCATCGTTTTGTGATTCAAGTACGTCATTCCAGTCGAGTTGTGTAAGTAATTCAGCACCGCTCTGAAAATAAAAAAAAGCCAAGTGGTTAAACCCTGCGAGTCATGCAAAGATTTCTGTTCTGTGTCTGAAATTCCCCACTCTGTTTCATAACACATTAGGTCGGTAGATGAATACATTTCTGTTTCCTACGAGGGCTTGGTTAGCATTTTATTCTGTCCGTGATTTATTAAGACATTATGGAACTGGGTCGAACCGAAAGAAGAACGTTTCTTTCAAATAGTACCATAAATTGTTCTTGTTATAATTATTATAATATTAACATTAATAATATATAAAAATAATAATAATAATGATTTCGTATTTTACTTACTCGCAAACTGATTGTGAAGTAAATTGCGCGTAAAATTGCAATATTTTAAAACCATATTTAGAAATTAAATCTTTCCGAACTTATTACGATGTAATTGATCTCAAGTCGTTAAACAAATTTTCAAGTTCAGTTCTGTGATCACTTGAAGTATAAAATACCCTATGTTAAACATTTTAGAAACGTAGCTTTCTTACATCATTAATTGCGCAATGACCCACTCAAATCATGGCCACGGTCTCCACGGGACACAGGAGAGTGCGGCACAAGGCCAAACAAATTTGACCTTTTTGCTTCCCACACACATTGGAGGTACAGATACGACTGTCTCATACAAATTCCATCTGCGTCACGCTATCGTCTTTGTGGAAAATGAAAAGTTAAAATGTGTGCGAATTACTGATTTCCGAGTTTTATTTCAAACAATAATTTTGCATTTAATTTTTGGTTTCATGTCATTTAAATTTTACATACGATACCGTTTTTATCAACAAAGCAACATTCAATGCACTGTATGCTGTTTGTTTTGCTTGTCAAAATTGGTAGTGCCACTGTTACTGCCATAGGCGAGAAGTTTAAACCTGTAGTGTCAGATAGGTTCCGTAAGTGATACGCTAAGGTCCTCGGTGGCTCGTTGGTTACCGTGCTCGCTTTCCATGACGCAGCCCCGGGTTTGATTTCCGGCCGTGGCAAAATTATGACTGGGCGCTTTTCTTACAAATGTCTCAGAATATATTGCGGTGTGACGATGAGGAAGCCCACCCTAAGGTTAAGAAGACCAGAATGTACGGTGAAGGGATGTATTCGGAATCCCTATCCCAAGGCTGAGAAGCTGGAGCACCGCTAGTCGGTCAAGGTCCGTATCGGGCTGTCGAGCCAAAGGACAGGGCAAGTGTTCAGTCAATTTCCATGAGCAGTATATGTTGAAAAGCCCTCTACTGACGCATACTGCATTAGAGAAGATTATTCTTGTTCAAGGCTGCGTTCGCGTGCTTGAATGTCAATGTAGCATGACGTAGCATAACTTTCATAACTTTCTTTAATCTCATTGCTGTCCGTCTATCAGCGACCACTGATCATATTCAGCGTGGGTCTGCGGTCAACAGATGATTCTCAAAGTGTTCAATTCGAGAGGGGTCATTGGGAACCAATTTCAAAAATTGTCATTTTGTAGGAGAGGGGTTTCAACCTGAGCCGGCGGAGCCTTGTAGTACACGCTCCAAATCATGTACTAAAAAAAACTGTCTTGTGAAACAATGACCATCATGACTTTGAATTTTACCAGCTAAAGCCGACTTTGTTCTAAACACATTGCCATACCAACTAGCATAAAAAGTAGTGGGTACCAACATAAAAACATTATATGCAAAGATTACGTAATATTATAATTTTACTTAAGCAAATGTCACACATTTTACATTTTTGAGTAATTTTTGAAAAATTAAAATTTTACAAAAAATATTGTCATGTTTCGTTTAAAAAATGTTTTAAGAAAACAATTTTTTTGAGAAAATCTTATGTTCAAAATTGCCTTTATTTCACGCAAAATTGATAAAGAAATACTCAAATTTTAAGTAAAATTGAATATCTTCTTGAAAGATCTTATTTGAAGAAGAAACTTGGTTGAGGAAATATCTCTATTTTAAATATTGTAGTCTAAGCAAGGCGAACAAAAATTAGGGTTGCAAATATCGCAAATTTAAAGAATTTAATGAAAATCGTACCTTCGCAATTTTTATAAATGTACTTCGCTATATTTGAGTAAAAGATCTCAGGCCATTTATGAGAAAAATGTTGAAAATGTCGTTGGGGCTTTAAGTACCGCCGAAAATTAAAATATCCGTTGCAAGGGGCCGTGACAGCCTGATATATAATATCTGGCTGTCACGCTATAATAAAAAATTATAATAATATAACATTATTACAATAATAATAATAATAATAATAATAATAATAATAATAATAATAATAATAACAAATTTGGTCAATAATCTACTTTTGATACACTTACATACATTTTCCTCAGAATGTTGTTGTCAGAATATGTTGCTTGTTTAACATGAACTGGAGTGGCTGACTCCATTCAACTACTCCTCATTCATTTGCAGTTTGGGACCCACGTGCTTCAGAAACTCTATGTGGAGTTGGGTGTGGTGGCTTGCAATGAGACTTGATCTTTATGATTATTAGTAAGGTGTGTACTTTCTATATTTTGTTTTATTCTCTGGATTTATAAAGGGTTTTCGTTGTTTGTATAGTGTTAATTAATTAATTAATGAATCAATTTATTGAAATGTTTGGAGTCCTCGTGCACTGTTAAAAAATTAAATATTTCGAAATGTTGGCACAACTAATAGTTTCTTAACCCACACTGACCAATCCTGTAAACCAATTTTAGTATTCATCAATGTTCGTGATTTCTACAATGGTGGATTATTATTGTTGTTGTTGTTGTTGTTGTTATTATTATTATTATTATTATTATTATTATTATTATTATTACAGATATTTTGGCTTCCACAATGCGACTCTGTTACCCGTAAATTAGTCTAAGTTATTTTCCCGTTGAGTAATTCATTTTGGGATATTGCAGAAATTAAGTTTACATTAAGAGGGAGGAAGGATATGGGCATTTTTTGACAAAATCTACAAGGAAAGTTTCTCAAACACGTTTTATGGAGAGGAAATACGAATTGTAGGTGAATTATTACTATTTCCTTTATTGTAAAGAAACATTTTTGAAGGATCACGTTCGTGATGTGAATGTATTACGTATTTTTTAGTGTAGATGACTTTTGTTTCGAAATTAAATGAAAGGGATGGGGATTAAATACAATGATTTTTGTTTACGTGCATTTGCTGAACGACAATCTTAAATGGATATTCAGTATTAAATGAAAAATACAATTTCAAAGAACAAACAACGTTTTGGCTTTTTCAACGACTTTCTTCTTCGGAGCCCTTTGACTCACCTCAGTGTCGGCAAACTGCGCGCTGCAGCAGGTGGGACGGCGGAAGCTTCTGTAGACCGCCACTCGGTCCCAGCGATACGCAGAGTCTGCGCCGAATAGCGAGCCGCACACTTGCGGATTCAGGCGACGGCCACGTGGTGCGCGCGCAGCTCATCCCATACGTACGCGCACAACGCGAAGTGACCTCGGAACATCTAATCGGACTACGCACCGAGCAGCTCGCCGTCCGGTGATACGAGCGATTTAAATTGACACTTTAATTGCTTCGACATGTAATTTTGTTCCTTTCTTCATCCCTTTTTCATTTTCTCTTCTACAAATATACAACGTCACTCGAAAGTACACTAGTAATTTTATAACTTCAAATATGAACCAGATTTATTTTTTAATGGAAAATCGTTTCATCTGAAGAAGTGAATAAATGAACATTCTATCAACGACAATATTGGCCTTGATGACAACACAGCCATTAAAAAACTTTTAGTAGGTAGGCTATACTCTGAGCAATGTTTTTTGAACTGGGTATTGCCTGAAGGTTTATAGTATGTTGTAAATGTTGGAAATATTCAGCCATTGTTTTATTACGGACGGTACTCCTGAAATGAAGAATTAAAATGGCTGATCACTTCTGAACTTTATACTTTAAATAGTAGTATACTCTTGTCAGAGCATAGACATCGGCTGTTATCTGTCATATGCGAGTAAATTTATTTTACTTTCGTCTAAAAGTGAAAGCATCGGGTAGCCACCTCTTCCGAGTTTGACCCGGAGTCTCCGGATTTCAGAAGTAATCTCCGGACTCCTGATTAATACGGATAATCTTGGAGTTGTACGAGAAATAAATCAAATGTATTGATTTTGGAGAATTTTTAAAATTTGTTAGCTAGCCATCGCAAATTGAGTTATTAAAAAAATATAATAAATTAGATTTATTATTGCAAGTAGATTTTACCCAACATATTTAAAAAAGTAAGCCAATAAAAAAACGTACTTATTTCGTTATTGTGATTATAATGTCCAATTAGATTAGAATATACGCATCGTTGTTAAGGAACAATTTTTCTAATGGAAGTAAAAAACAATTAAAAAATCTGCACTATTTAATTGAAAATATAATTAACAGCATAATTTAAAAATAAAACATCCATTATGACTCAATATTTGTGACCCTCCACCCTCGATTCAAAATATCCCACTCACAGGCTTTTAGAACGTGGCAACCCTCAGACTCGCCGAGCACATGTCAGCCACTTATTGACTATAAGTAAGGACGAAAATACTTCCCTTAAAATTACATGCTTATGTATTTCTTTCACCTTAAGTAAAACTGTAAATAATTCTGGAAATATTTGATTAGTATCAGTCATTTTTTGAAGGGTGTGTTAGTAGGTCTATTGAGTGAGATTTTATATTTCATAGGAAGGATGTAGCACAGTATTATAGAATTCAGAAGTTTGTCACCTCTGTAAAAATTAGGAAAATTCAGAATCAGAGCTTTTGTTTCAAACAACCTGTGTAGGTTCCACAAATTTAGGAGACTATACATTTTCAAAAGTGTTCTTTTTTTACTTTTGACAATATTTTAAATAATTTTCATAATAGGTTGTTAAAGAGATACGAGCACCAATATCATAATTGTTGACTCCTTCCTTTCGTACATTTTCTTGACATGTAACTTATTTTCCTTCAAGTGTACATACAATGAACTCCCATCTTTACAACTGACAGAATTACAAAAATTTAATATCGTTAATAAATTAAATAATAAAGCGGTGTATAAAGAAAAGGAAATTGTTAATCGACTATACGTATTAAAATTATTAACGTCATTACGCGATAAAAAGCAATCAACCGTTCAATTCACAGAGAGATGCAGCTCAGGCTCAACAGATGTCACTGCAGTGCCTCTGTCCGGGAGGTCCTAGATGCGGGTCCCGATGGCGGCAGGATTTTAGCACTAGCTAGATAGCTACGCCGAATTCAGTCGCTGCCTGGACCTTAGCAATACCAGCGGCTGGCTGCTCTGATCTGTAATTTTCCGTGGTTTCTCTGATCAATACCAGGCAAATGCCGGAGCAGTACCCAACAACGGACCATACAAGGCGACCTTTCCTTCACATGCCTTGCCCTATCTTCACTCCTTACTTACACACACACTTAGATGCACTAAACTACCATTCATGCCTGGAGACCGGACCAGAAACATAGTTTGTCCCAGCTGGAGCGGTGCCCCACCAGTGGGAGATACCTGGTTGAGGAAAACCCGCTAGCCGACGGGTAGGTTGGCGCCGGATATCATCATCCAGCGGGGAAAGAACACCGCCATCTCCCAAGAGGATAAATGCACTACACTTACGAGACTAATCACCTTAGTATTTGATGCGCCCGGAATCACTAAACAATCAATCGCTCAATACTTTTCATAATATCTTGTTATACGAAAACGTATAAACAAGAAATACCATTTCTTGGAATAAGGCTACTCGAGCACCATCTTCAGGTACAACTGTTCTCGTTTCTTTACGGACGACGGACTGTTAGATCCATAACGGATCATCCACCGGCTGTTAAGAGTGCCTTTTCGTTCTTCTGCTGGGTTGCGTTAAGCCTTTAAAGTCTCTTTTACAGTGAAACGAAAAATCATTTAATACCTACTACATACACTTATTTCACCCAACATATATTACAGACACATTTATACCGTCATCGCAAAGTAAATATACTTTTGAACCAGGGTTAAAGGTTCTAATGATCTAGTGGCAACAAAAAGTCCGAGGGCTAAAGACCCTCGGGCTTTTTGTCGCCGTTCGATCATTAGAACTAGTGAACGTGATGTATACATCATTTTATATCTTTATATATTTTTATTGATTCAGATTTACTTATTTAAACTAAACTACACTAACTTTTACTAAATGTTCACATTAAATCAGTCTGTCTTTTTAAATTTCCCTCCCATACTTCCCTTTCACAATTCCATCTAATAATTCCCTCTGATAACAGAGCATGATTCAGCTGTTTTAATATTTATCTCGTAAACACGATCCTCTCGAACCAGATAAGTTATGCAATGTAAATCAATTTCCATATCGAAGGCAATAACAAGCAATAACGTATCACAAAAAATAAAACATACTATTTCTCTGGTTCCCAGCAGTATTCACCATCAAAATGCTCTATTCTCATTGGCTTATTTGTCCCTTCAGTGACACAGCTTTCGCATCTGAAAAGATGATTCGAATGGACTGGGTTATGGTTGTTTGGGAGGTTTTTGTGTTAACGGATTCCTTTTCAACTCATTCCGCATTCTACATTTTCTTGATTGTCGATGTTTCTAATTTCAACCCAAGCTCCTTTCTGACGATCAGAAGCTATTTGGGATCTGATAAAAATTAAATTATGCTAAATGTAAAATCCAGCTAAAACCAGTATATTTAAAAATAAAAAAAAATATTTAGGACAAATATTTTGTATGTATATTCGTCTATGGCTTTTCGAGGTATTTTTTAGTTAAATGAAGTCATTTTCGCCGCGAAAGATTTTCGTTCGAAAAAATATTTTTATTTTACTCTCATTCATTATTGCATTATATTGTCTTACATTATACTGTATCTATTTATTGTCGTATATTACGAATAAACACTAGGTGGATGATTAGGATATAGTGAACTTCAGAAAAACAACTTGCAGAAAAAGATACTTCGCTTCAGGATCGCGATTTTCATTTACATTAAGAGTTTGTTGGTGTCAGCAGTTACTTTTGAAACCATTTACAGCAAATCGAAAGGAATGAGGAAACAAACCACTGAGGATCTCATCTGTGACAATTCTTTTGAGTTAGAAAACTTCATTGTCACAAAGTACGAGGTGAAAAATGAAATGAAATATCATTTGGTGCGGCAGGGGCGGATCCAAAGACAGATTTTGGGAGAGGGTATTTGTATGTCTTTGGGTTTGTATGTGTGTATATATTCCGACAAATGTCCCCCCTCCCAAGCTAGTAATTCCCAAATTCGCAGATATCGTGCTCCTACGTGCATCTCAGGGCAGTGGGATCTTTTGGGGTGTTGAGAGAAATCCAATAACAAGAACACATAAATCTGTTAAGAAGGGTTTATTACTCTTAAAACTACTTTTGTCTAAACAAATCCCATCAAAATCATTACAAAATCACATCAAAATCAAAATTAAACACAATAGCACCAAAATTGAAACCCTTTCTTAATGACGCAAGAATTAATTGTTAAACTATTCGCACAAATGATCACTGGGAATTCCCTTTGTTACTCTTACCCATTAAATTTGTCACAATTCCTATTTACATTAACCAATGACATAATATACAATTTAACACTCCATTCAAATACCTTTACTTCAAAAAACGTGTGCAGATGCACCACACTCTCTACAACAATTTCGCTGTGGCCGCGAACAACAAATTAATATTGATCTATTTACATTTTCGTAGACAGTAGTGCTTTTAAAATGGAAAGAATCTCTGATACTCAGATGCCTCCTGAATGCTTATTTCCCTCACAATTTCCTGGTTAACAAGTTCTCCCTGGTTGCCGACTTTCATGTAATTTTCGGCGCCGTTAGCTGCCTCCTCCGTGCTCCAACGCTCGACCTTGAAGCGCTTGGGCCTCTGCGCAGCCGATTGCGGACCCCGGGTTGCCGGTGACTTCTCGCCGCCCTATTGGGTCGTCTTCCGCGTTGCTTTCTGCGTCGTCTTCCGCGACGCCTTCTGCGCCAATTCAAAGTCTTCTGCGTTGTCTTCTGATCTTCTCCTGGCTCCTTTCGTCCTCGTCTGCCGTGGACATAGCGCGAAACAGTGTTGTAGGCTCGTATCGAAAGCTTCTCCCACTCCTTCCCTTCACTCCCCGTTTTTGAAACTGTTAGGCACCTTCTTTGTCTGACTAGCCAGTGAAATACACGTAACCTTGAGCGCGTACCTATTTCCAATGTACGCCAACACGAGTCGTCTAAGAGACTAAGCCATTGCAATTATGTCTTTGACTCTATATTTCATAATATTGTGAATAAAAAATACGAAAA